CCTTAACCGTTCAAACTACGACTGAAATTTATTTTAATTAATTGTCGCCGTCTCAGTCTGTAGTTTTCGTAAATATATATATTTTTTGCTTTGTTTTTAGCATTTTAATTTCTTATATCACCAAAATTTTATCTTAATTCTTATTTTTTTAAGACTAATATAAGCAAAAATTAAAATTCTTAATTTATGAAAAAGTCAAAAAAAAAAAAAATGTTACCGGCGGAAAAAATAACGTCATGCACTATTGTTTATGTATTCGCAAATCCAAGCATTATTTTTACAGGAAAATGACGCAAATGCTGAATTTTTAAGTTCTGTAAGGAACTAAGGCTTTTAAATCGTTTTTTTTTTTTTTTTTTTTGCATTTAATTTCAAATTAAAAATACAAATCAAATTAAAAATAAAAATACTTTAATTAAAAAACTACATTCGATGCAATTGGGCCTTTGTTCTTTGCCACGGATTCAGCCCAACTCTCACCGTCCATCTTTCTTGGTGATGCTATTAATATTTATTCTTCAGCTGCTTTATGTACTCAATCAACAACATTATGTTTAAGAAAGACGATCCTCCTTCTTCTACTGCCTTCTTGGCCATCTCCCTGAGTTCTGTAGCCCTTTTCCTTCTCTTTTCTCCTTCTTCTCCCCCCTCCATGAGCTCCTTCACCGCCTTCTCCACGTCTCCCCTCTTCACTAGCACGGCCGCCTTCTCCTCCTCAAGTTGCATCGGTACCTCCACCCCAACTTTTACACCAATCTTCAACACTTCCACAATAAAATTTTCATTATAAAATTGCTCTGCAAACATTGGCCATGTTATCATGGGTAACCCAGAACTTACTCCTTCTAGAGTTGAATTCCACCCGCAATGTGTTAAGAAACCTCCAATAGCTGGATGTGACAATATCAAAACTTGAGGCGCCCATCCTCGAATAATTAAGCCTCTCTCTTCAATTCTCTCTACAAATCTCTCCTTTGCAAACCAATTTTCCAATTCGGGTGAACAATCCGCCTTCTTAATTATCCAAATAAATGGAGAACCGGATGATTCTAGACCTAAACCGAGTTCCATCAATTGCTTGGGGCACAAGCGAGAAATGCTACCAAAGCAAACATAAATTACCGATTTTTCCTTCTTAGAGTTGAGCCAACTCAAGAACTCATGTTCATCAATTGATGCCTTGTTGCCTCTGTGAAACGGTGCCGTTTTGTTGTACAAACATAAGGGTCCAATGCACCACATACTCTTCACCTGTTTTTTATACCCCACAATGTACGCAGGTTCCATTTCTTCAAAAGAATTGACTATCACACCGTCCGCTGATTTCTCAGCCGATTTGAATTTTCCTATAATATCAGTCCATTGATCGGAACCGAAACTTCCTAGCGTCGGCAACTGAGCCTTGGTGAAGAGGATTCTATCAGGCACGTCCGGAACTAGGAATGGGTCGGAATCCGACTCGACCCGATCATATGGTTTGTGAACATCAATGTTATGGGAACAGAAAAGTGTAAAGCAAGAAACTGTATGGAAAACAAGCTTAGGAATTCCGAACTTACGGGAAAGATCAGATGTCCAAGGAAGACAAAAATCTGAAACAATACAGTGTGGAAGAGACCCTGCTTTCTCCGACTCTTGAAGCCAATTTTCCAGTGGTTCCTGCATCATGTTACTAGCATCAAAAAATTGCGGTGTTAGGTCCTGTGAAGGTAGCCGGTTGTTTTTTTCACTTCCCATGGTGGATTTGGCTTCTAAAAACTGAATGATGAGTCTGGATTTCTTAGCCTCGTCTAAGAGGGTTGTGAATTGAGTTGCATTTTCAGGTGCCATGACAAGGGTGACGATGAGGCCGCGTTGAGCGAGGGCTTTGGCCATGTCTGTGAAAGGAATGAGATGACTTTGGGACATGAGGGGAACCAGAACGAAGTGAGGAGGAGTTGAGGAAGCCATGAATGTGGAGAGAGAAAATATTACAAAGATGAGGATTACCTGGGGTGGAGAGGATTTAAAGGATTATGCATATATATTTGCGTCTTGAGTTTATCTAAAATCTAAATGACTTTAATTCGTTGGACAAGACAATCATGCAGCATAATTTGGTGGGGGTAAGGGTTAAGCTGTTGAGTTATCTTAGGACAATCGGC